AGAGAGAGAGAGAGAGAGAGAGAGAGAGATGCACGCAGTGATACAGAGACACTGAGTGCGCACTGGCTGAAAGTGCAGCAGGAAGTCCGGGATTTTCCCCTTTTCTCTCCCCGTCTCTCTCTCTAGTTTTGGGATAAAAACATGAAATTCAAGGCATTAAAGACAAACTGACTGACTTTACCACAAACGCACATGCAGGAAGTTCGCTTTTGGACAGTTTGGGATAGTCTGCACCTGCCGACCTGCCCGTGTTTCCAGACAAATACTCTTCTATTTATTGTATTAACTTGCAACAGCTCAAGCCGTCGGGTTTTTCGTACGGTATGGCTGGCTGTTTTTGTCGTCTGGTCGCTTGCGTCCACATGGAGGGGTTCGGGATGGCTGACAAATAATTAAATAAGAACTCGTGTGGATCCGAGTCACCTTCCGAGTGTGGATACCGCGGGGAGATTTCAGTTGCCTCTTACATGAAACCTCCTTACCTCTTCATCTTGGGGATCTATTTAGGAGTCTGTGCAGCGTTTTAGTTCAGAGCGCATTTGTGTCTGACTCAACGATGTGCTCCGGTGGGAAATACTTTGTGTTTTTGTTCTTGTTTAGAAGTATCCTGTCGGACCCGGGAACCACAAACCAAGGTGAGTACAAAGAGCGTCGAACCACAGACTTGGAGCAAGCGTGCATGCACCAATTTAAATATTTGAACCATTTTAAAGCATTTTTTTTTTTTGCCCAAACAGAACGGATCCTCTGCTCACACACGCACGTTCACCCGCAAAACCCAAAGTAACTTGATGTTTTGCAATGCTTTCTTAAAACTGTCTGCAACCAGAACATTTGTCTCACTTGTTAAATACTTTCAACACACTAAGCATATTTGACATACCTTCACTGGTCTTTGGTGCCATGAAGAGTAGTGGTGTAATCTTTTCACAGGTGATTCTATTTTGTACATTAGATAATAAAATGACACCTGACTGACTAATGTGTTTTTCTTCAGGTGTTTTTCTATATCCCTCCAATGTCAATTTGTTGGTTGAACCAAACTGAGTAAGTCCCTTAGTTTTAGCTTTAAATGTCAGACAACAACAACAACAACAACAGAAAACACATTGAAACATGCATGTACAGCTTAACAATCTAAATGGACCTTTCTGAGCTGAACCAATATGCCAGCTTTGGTTTAAGTAGACTCATCTGCCCTAACCACTGATAGCTTACACAACACCGCTTTGAAGGACTGAACATGGCAGTAATGATAATGTCTCTTAAAATATATCAGTCTGGCTCTGAATGTATCAAAAACACATGTATTCATGCAGAGCTTCCTAATGTTGGCTAAACCAAAAGATGTCAGTCTTGGTTTCAGTAAATTGAACTGTTGTCCTGATCACTGATACTGTGTTGGCTACAACACACATCTCTGAAAGACTTAACATGGCAGTATTAATACTGTACAGTTACTCTGTCTCAAAATAGATTCATTTGACTCTGGATTTTACAAATACTGCACATCTAAAGATGTACAGCCTAGACATGAACATTAACTAAAATATGTCAGTCGCTTGTTTTTAGCAAGAGCTCAGTTGATCTCTACTCCAACTCATTGATAATATATAGATTACAACACACATTTTAGCCAGTGATTATCATGTGGTAGTTACTTTTCTCTCAAAATATATCAATCTTATTTTGAATGTGTCAAAAAACAACAACACATTTATACATTTTTCAGCCTCCAAATGTCTTGCCTTAACCAAGATGGCAGTCTTGGTTCTAGATCTAATCTAATCTAATCATTGATACCGTATGTCATACGACACAAATCTTTAAAACACTGAACATATCGATGTTCTCTTGCAAGTTTTTCAAGCCATTCGATCTGAAAATATATTAACTTTGCTGTATTTTATACAAAAAAAAAACACGTGTGTGTGAATTACGTGGCCTTTTTCAGTGGCTATATCTGCAGTCCTACCGATACTGTGAAATTTAGAGCACATATTAAAAGTCTAAACATGTCAGTGGAACTCATGTTTCAGAAAGTTTTCAACCGAATCAAACCTCATCTTAAAAATGTAATCAATTGCTTTGGATTCCAATGAACACACAATGAGAAACACAGTTACAGCATCAAAAAGCAAAATAAATCATACCTATAGGTTCTGTTAGCTGTTACAGACTCTGAGCTAAATCAGCCAAATTATGGATGAGGCTCTGACATTATACTTCACCTGCAAAGTCTGAATGCACAGAAACATTGCTATAGGCACCACAGACTGTAAATGTCAGCCTCTGGCATACTCTGCCAGCTATACTGATGCTTATGAGTTGCCTATTTCTGCCGCTCTGTCTTCTATGGGTCCATACATTCTTGGATGAAAATATAACAGATTTTGGCACTCAAAGACACTTGTGTGATACTGACTTTATTATGTTATGTACCTATTATGTTGGGCAAGTGTTGACATTAAATGTACAGAAATATATGATTTCCCACAAAAAAAAAAGATTTCTGTCACATGGGCAGTGTGCAGTTGCATGTATATGAGAAACAGGACATAATCATTTAATTTCCCCTCAGCCGTACTCATATCATACATTATCATAATGGAATCTGTTCTTGACATCTTCCACTTTGCATATTTGCAGAGGTCAGTTTAATATTCCTTCCTAAATGTTTAATGTTTAGGATACACATTTTCAAAGACAACAGGAGCCCTTTCACTAGCCAAATGTCAAAGTCTCCTTCACTTAATTTTTCTGTGACTTGTGCCTGTGTGTGTTTGGTGTGAGTGTGCATGCGTGTGTGTGTGTGTGTGTGTGTGTGTGCATGCGTGTGTGTGTGTGTGTGTGTGTGTGTGTGTGCTCAGTTTTCCCAACAGGATGCCTCTCTGCCTGTGGTGGTGACAGGCTTGAAGGGGAGGGGATGCACACAGGGGAAACTTTAAAAAAACGGCAACGTGAGGAGTTTAAAATATAGTGAAATCCAAACGTATACGTGTGTGTGTGTGTGTGTGTGTGTGTGTGTGTGTGTGTGTGTGTGTG